GTCACCGGAAATTACTCAAAATTGGACAGAAGACAGAGAATTAGATATTTTACTCACATGTGAGATTTCGTCTGAAACAGAACTCAAGTTACAGACTTTTGAAAATTTAAAAGTAGAATAAGTTCCACTTCCGGTTATCGGAAATCGCTGAAAAGTTTATACAGAACTACAAATTTTATATAATACTTGTATATAAAATTTCATCAACCTAGCTGTAACGGTACTCAAGTTATCGTATTCACAGTCAGACAGACAGACACACACACACACAAACACACAGTAAAAAAAAAATTCTGGCGCTGTAGAATCGGAACAGTTTACGTCTACATTGAAACGAATTTCTTGTCATGTGGTCACAGCTAAGTCTCTAATGTTGTGATAATCCCTCCTGCCACAGGGGTTGTATGAGGTATGGCAATGGTTACAAGTAATACAAGTCTGACCCGTATTCGAACCTAAGACTATTGTGGTGCTCCAGAGAGTTGAGATCAAAGTTTTAATGGGATCAGGTAGCAGCTGTTTAAGTTTAGGGTAACAGCGTGACGTCACTTCTGGGTGATTAGCCGAACTGGTCATTTTAAACCATCTCACACATACAGGCTTAGTGGGGCATGGGAAATGGTAAACATGGGTTGGGATATGGGAGGTGGTTCAGTGTGGTGTACAAGGGGTTAGGTTATGGGAGATGGTAAAGTGTGGTGTACAAGTGTTGGGTTATGGGAGGTGGTACAGTGTGGTGTACAAGGGTTGGGATATGGGAGGTGGTACAGTGTGGTGTACAAGGGTTGGGTTATGGGAGGTGGTACAGTGTGGTGTACAAGGGTTGGGATATGAGAGGTGGCAAAGTGTAGTGTACAAGGGATATAGGAGGTGGTAAAGATTGGTGTGCAGGGGCTGGGATATGAGAGGTGGTACAGTGTGGTGTACATAGGCAGTAGGGGTTGGGAGGTGGTGGAGTGTGGTGTACAAGAGGGTTGGGATATGGGAGATGGTACAGTGTGTTGTACATGAGCTGGGATATGGGAGGTGGTAAAGATTGGTGTACGAGGGCTGGTGGTAAAGAACCGTGTTAAAATGTTACCGATAAAGGAGGGAGGAGGGGGGTATGGACTTTAATAAATGCACTTCGCTTATCGGTTTGTTTGCTTTAAATGTAGGTCAAGTACAGTCAAGGTTAATGTCATGGATCAAAACAACAATTATACCTTTTGTGCCTGCTTTGTTTAACCCTATTTTACCTGGACATACCATACTACATGGCTAAAAATAGAGTTGGGTGGACTTTAGGAGAGTTAGAAAAATGTTTCTGTCATGTGTGTTGTGCTGAAATATGGGCTCTGTGACACGGGAAATGACTATTTTTGCCTGGGAAAAAGTTAACATCCATCAAAAAAAAAAAAAAAAATAGCTTAAGATAACAGAACATTTGCTTGTAAACAAAAAGTCATGTGATCCTTAACAAATGGCAGAGTCAGATTTTTATAAAAGGATATAATTTTTTTACTTTTTTAAAATTTAAGTTTAAATTGTAATAGTAACATTTTTTTAAAGTATTTAAAGTACTACGCATGTTAGTTTGCTGTTAAGATTACAGGTAAAAAAAGGAAGAAAAGAAGAAGAAAAAAAATAAGAAGAAAAAAAAAGAAGAAAAAGGAAAAAGAAAGAATTTTTTTAGAAAATGTTAGTTCTACTAAACTAGTCAATTTTAATTTGACGCATCATGCCAAAGAGCGTTACACGAGTAACCAAAATCATTAACCACAGTTGCAGTACAGTTCATTAAACCTCAACGCATGCCACCTATACATTCCCACTAAAGAACAGAAACCGAACTCGCAACTTGCGCGTTAGCGACTGTGAGCTCTACCACTCGACCACGCCGTACTTTTAAAACGTACTGCCAGGCAAATAATTAAACTTTATTTAAAACGACATAAGTCACGGGGCGTACAATAAACAAATGTGCCTAGACAAGTCATATCACAAGACTTGAGGTAGACACCAACATATAAACTATACAGAGGCATAGCGAGGGGTGGGGGTACATATGTCCCCGGGCGCCGACCCTAGGGGGGCGCCAAAATGGGTTTGAAAAAAAATTAAAAGCTCATTTTAGCTGCTGTTTTGCATTATAAATATTTAAAAAAATACATGGGGGGGGCGCCAAATTGAAAGTTTGTTCTCTGGAGGGGGGCGCCAAATTGAAAGTTTGTTCTCTGGAGGGGGGCGCCAAATTGAAAGTTTGTCCCCGGGCGCCGGGAAGGGTCGCTTACGCCTCTGAACCTATTGTTAAAACTATGGTTTAAAAATGTCAAATAAATAAATGGGAGCGGCACGTATGTTAAATATAGAATAATTATCTGCCCTCGAGAAACAAGAAGTCTGTTCGAACAGTTGACTCAACTATAATGGGCAATCAGCATTAGTAAGCCTAGCTGTTCAATGTTGTCGCACATCGTGGTTATCTCTCCTACACACCTAGCTATTGCTGCTAGTGTTGCCCGTGTTTCTAGTGTTGCCAGTGTATGGGAACTCTTCAGCTCTTGAGACTGATAAGAAGCTCACGTTGGCGTTCAATGACAATAGAGTGTTTAAAGATGGCTTTTCTCATTGATTACAACAGTCAATGGTTCTAACGTTTTTATCATTGATTACCTCAGTCAATGGTTCTAACGTTTTTATCATAGATTACAACAGTCAATGGTTCTAACGTTTTTATCATTGATTACAACAGCCAATGGTTCTAACGTTTTTATCATAGATTACAACAGTCAATGGTTCTAACGTTTTTATCATTGATTACAACAGCCAATGAAACGTTTTTATCATTGATTACAACAGTCAATGGTTCTAACGTTTTTATCATTGATTACCTCAGTCAATGGTTCTAACGTTTTTATCATTGATTACAACAGTCAATGGTTCTAACGTTTTTATCATTGATTACAACAGTCAATGGTTCTAACGTTTTTATCATAGATTACAACAGCCAATGGTTCTAACGTTTTTATCATTGATTACAACAGTCAATGGTTCTAACGTTTTTATCATAGATTACAACAGCCAATGGTTCTAACGTTTTTATCATTGATTACAACAGTCAATGGTTCTAACGTTTTTAATCATTGAATACATGAGGGGGGGGGGGAATGACTAGCGTTGATTTTTACACAAGCTTAAGTCGGATTCACTTATATGTTCAACTTTAAGTACTCTAAATGTTACTTATCACTTGAAGATTCGATGTGATAACTCAACATATCACTTATACTTATAAAATACATGTGATAACTCCATATACAACTTCTATATACACCTACGATAACTCTACTTATAACTTCTATATACACCTATAGTAAATCTACGTATCACTTCTATAATAACTCAACATGTAACTGTTATGTCAATTCTATATTCACCTATGATAACTTATACATCGCTCAACTCTTCCCTGTTCCCGGCATAACCTTAACATAACAAACGCTATCATAAACATAAACACCCCCCCCCCCCCCCCCGTCATACACCAGCCCAGCCCTTACATTTTATATCAACATGTCACCTGTCACCAACAACAACACCACTGGGAGGTGACCCAATTACATAATGCCACGGCTTGTTAAAAAATGAATAATTTATCAGCGGTGACCTTAGAGCTAGAAAACAGGGGCTTTGCTGCATATAGTTCAACCGGGGAAATATGAGGGCCAGAATATGAGGCTGTTGTGGTGGTGGTTGGTGGTTGTGGTGGTGGTTGGGGTTGTGGTGGTGGTGATGGTTGTGGTTGTGGTGGTGGTTTGTGGTTGTGGTGGTGGTTTGTGTTGTGGTGGTGGTTGGTGTTGTGGTGGTGGTGGTTGGTGTTGTGGTGGTGGTTGGGGTTGTGGTTGGGGTTGGTGTTGTGGTGGTGGTTGGGGTTGGGATTGTGTTGGTGGTTGGTGTGGTACATAGCAGCATTTTTTCACGATATGGGTGGACGGTGTGGTCGAATAGTAGAACGTTAGGCCGTAGGAATCGAGATCGGATCTATGTTCGGACTTTTGAGTCCATCCAGCTCTCATTGGTACTTGATTTACGTTTCAGAAAGTAAAGGGGGTTGGGCATAATGTTGACAACACTATTGCTTCTATATGCCACGGTCAACAAATAAGAGAGCTTTACTTCAACTGCCCAATGGATCACTGTCTCTAAGGGGGAACTTCACTTTCTTAATAAAGTAGGTGGAGTTCATGTGATTAAGTAAACATTCAAATGTGGGAATTCGTTACTTTATATAAATCAGTCCCAACAAAGAGTAGGGCTGAGTAGGAAAAAGATGGTCATTAAATGTTTCTCTGGGAATTAGCTGTCCCTGTCAGCAATTTATTTTCATCTTACAGAACACAAGTTCATGGTCGGACGTGACTTCCTTCTTAGATGTCATTTCATTTCTCGTGTCCGTCAAAAGCTAATTCTAGCATCCTTTTGTTTTTCATTCATAATAAAAAAACGCATTTCTCTTTATTGAAGGTGTGGAATAATTTTTTGCAGAACCTAATTAAGTGGGTTGAAACAGTGGTTAATCGTGATTCGTTTCGCCGTTATTTCCATCTATTTTAACAAAATAAAATAACATACTTCAGTATTTCAATTGTCTGCAGGCGAATTCGTTCTTGTTTTTTTATTTTATTTTATTTTGTTTTTGTTTCTTACAAAAAAATGCAATTTCAGCCGAAAGAGATTTAAATAGATAAATGACATCTCAAGTCGGTTGAGTGTATTTTCAGGACAATGTGAATAAACTGCTTCCATTAAATTACTTCAGACACCTTTCATTTTCTTTACAAGTGTGATAGACTGTTTACCGTTTTTCAAGTCGTTAAAAAAAAAAACCCGAGCAAAAAAAAAAAAAAAAAAAAAACAGCGTCAAGTTTAAATGAAATTAAAAACTGCCCAGAATAGCCCAGCCTGTCAGCTTATTTACCCGACCCCACCAATCACCAGTTTGCTGCTAGAGTACTCACCCAGAGAAGAGGTGGAGAGGACAGTAGCCGCTTGTCTCCGGCCATTGACCAGATTTTCTCTGAAACCAAAGCCAAAAACAAAATAATTAATAACGACTAAACAAGCGGGTAGCGGACAATACATCTTTGTTGATATGAGAGAAGAAAAAAAGGTTGACGTGTGAGCTGGATTGGTCTGGGTAGAGATAACCCATTAAAGACGTGTTCAGTTTGTCTGGCTTCATCAGTCCATACTGCCTTAGATTAACTCTCTTTCTGTACATCTAAATTAGGTTCAATTCCATACTTCACTTAAATTAATCCTATTTCTGTACATCTACATCGTGTTCTGTGGTATAAAGACATTACAAAGAAGGAACTTATTTTAAAAGAAGGATGGGAGGTGTCTATGATATGACTGGTGTTTTCTGGGTACCGGTACTGTAAACCGGAACCAGAACGTTGGTTTTAACACTAGACCTAACCGCTGTAACCCGGAACCCGAACGTTGGTTTTAACACTAGACCTAACCGCTGTAACCCGGAACCCGAACGTTGGTTCTAACACTAGACGGAACCCGAAAGTTGGTTTTAACACTAGACCTAACCGCTGTAACCCGGAACCCGAACGGTGGTTCTAACACTAGACGGAACCCGATCGTTGGTTCTAACATTAGACCTAACCGTAACCCGTCTTAATCAGGTCCCCAATCCTGACCCTACACACTGACCCTAAACCCAAACCTAACAACGATCACAGTGAGACACGCTAGATAAAAACATCAATACGATGAGCACCAAAAGTAGCCCCCCCCCCCCCCTGTTATCTCCCCACCCCTCGTTATCTCCCCACTACAGAGACGCCAGCCCACACCACCAAACGACAACAACAGACAAATTGGTCTCCAATACGAGGGCCTACGTGACAGTGTCAGAGACTGACCCAGACAGCTTCGTTGGGGTCCCTCCCCCCCCCCCAATATCTCCCCATCACAAAGACGTCAGCCCACACCACCAAACGACAACAGCAGACACGTTAGTCTCCAACAGAACCAGTGCCTACGTGACTAAGTCAGCGACTAAACCAGGTACTTGGTTAAACGCTCCCCCCCCCCCCCCCACTCCCTATTTTCTTCGTTTTTTAACACAAATTATCCAGCTCCCAAATAAAACCTTGTACTTTCCTCCCTCTCATTCAAAGTCACAGACCTCATATATTGTCCTATCACGTCCACTGAAGGCGATATTGAAATTATCAGTTTCAGGTAGAACCTAAAACAGTGTCAGGATTTGGTTGTGTGTTCAGCTTGAAGTGGCCGCTGACGATGATGACAACAAACACAAATGCTGGTTTACCAACCGTTAATCTATTTATAGGAACAAGGCCGACATCATCAGGTCAAGGGTTATGTTAGTGTACAAAGGTCAACTCAAGGATCAAACGTCAACACTGTTTACTGTAGATTAACTTTGAAGATGTCAAAAAAGAGGAAGTTAGTACGATGCTGTTGGTTTTTTTTTTTAAACAAACTTCAGTCACAACGTTAGGGTTCTGTCTGTATAATAATAACAATAAAATCGTTAGTCGCAAAATGTACTGCACAGATTTTTTTTTTAAAGCGACCTACCTTATATTTTTAATTTTAAAGCTAAAGAAACGAAATGTTTTATTAATTCTTGTTGTTTTTTTTCCGGAATTTTTTAAAACTTCTTAAAAATACGACTAAAGTCGACAAAAATAAAAAAGCGGAAAAATTCGAAGAAAATGAAATTAGCGGGGAAAAACATTTTTTTAATGCATTTAAAATATTTTTAAAAGCTTGTTAATATACAGGTTTCAATGCTCGCTTTATTTTCTACCTCTACTATTTTACCATGTGCAGCCTACATATATTTTTTTTTGGTGCAGCCTACATATTTTTTTGGCGAAAATTCAACGAACTCTTAACTCATGATAAAAATGTTTTCAAGTTTTACATTTCCCAAATCTTTTTCTATAAGTACAATCCATGAACGTGTCGGCAACAAAATATTGACAGTAAGATAATCATTTGCACCAACAACAAAAAAAAAATCGAAGTTTTTTTTTTTTTTTTACCCCCAGTGCATTCCGTATCAAGAAAATAACATTCCAAATATGCGTAAGCGCGGATGAATTTCAGGGAGAGAAAACTCTTTCACTGCAGTGACGTAAAACAGCAACCATCAACAAATAAGTGGGCGGGGGTACTTGACGGCCGTTCTACTACTTGCGCTGACGTAAAATCGTGCGTGTTCTACTTCAAACTGTTGACTTAATGCCAGCACGGGAAAGAAAAACAGAGGGTAAGGGGGTCGGTTCCACTGGTCAATAGACGTCATTGCTTCTGTATGTCTAGGGTCTTCGCTTCTGTATGTCTAGCTAGGGTCTTGGCTTCTGTATGTCTAGCTAGGGTCTTCGCTTCTGTATGTCTAGCTAGGGACATCGCTTCTGTATGTCTAGCTAGGGTCATTGCTTCTGTATGTCTAGCTAGGGTCTTGGCTTCTGTATGTAGGGTCTTCGGTTCTGTATGTCTAGCTAGGGTCTTGGCTTCTGTATGTCTAGGGTCTTCGCTTCTGTATGTCTAGCTAGGGTCTTGGCTTCTGTATGTCTAGCTAGGGTCTTCGCTTCTGTATGTCTAGCTAGGGTCTTGGCTTCTGTATGTCTAGCTAGGGTCTTGGCTTCTGTATGTCTAGCTAGGGTCTTGGCTTCTGTATGTCTAGCTAGGGTCTTGGCTTCTGTATGTAGGGTCTTCGGTTCTGTATGTCTAGCTAGGGTCTTGGCTTCTGTATGTCTAGCTAGGGTCTTGGCTTCTGTATGTCTAGCTAGGGTCTTGGCTTCTGTATGTCTAGCTAGGGTCTTCGGTTCTGTATGTCTAGCTAGGGTCTTCGCTTCTGTATGTCTAGCTAGGGTCTTCGGTTCTGTATGTCTAGCTAGGGTCTTGGCTTCTGTATGTCTAGGTAGGGTCTTGGCTTCTGTATGTCTAGCTAGGGTCTTTGCTTCTGTATTTCTAGGATCATCGCTAGTCTAGGAACGGCTTCAAATTTTTGTGTATTTCGTAATGGCGGAAAAAGAAAAGGAAAAAAAAAACCCGCTATAAACTAAAGTAGAACGAATGGAACCGTGGAATAGACTGGCGATGAAATCATTCGATCGACCCAGTGATGACTCACTGCTGTGAGTAATGGAATGAAGATGGGGGGTAGGTGGGTGTAAAACAATGACGATGCTCAGTGGCCATAAACAGGTGATGATGACCACTGACCGCTGATTCAGGTAACAATATCTATGACGATTACTGCTTCAGGTACGCACAAAGAAGGCACAAGCATTCTGTTTAGTCACGAGAATACACATATATTCATCTAGTAACATAGTACAGCTGGCTTGGTTGGTAGCACTTCGAAAACTAGGCAACCCCTCACCTCCCCCCCCCCCTACAAACTACAACCTGACCTCACATGCCAGACACAGGCACACAGTAAAATCAGCTGTTTAGCTGACCTCTCTAGGCGAGACGTGTTTACACACAGACGGCCGATGGTAAGGGGGGGGGGGCACAAAAAGAATGAGGAGAGAGAAAGAAAGATTGAGGGGAGTGATAAAAAAAGACTGAGGGACAAAATGTAATGGGTGGCGTTGATACCTAAGGAGATCAGGTTTCAAGGCACTGAAGGAGCAGGTCAACCCTGTCTGTTCAGTAATTGAGGTTCTCATTCCTGCCCGTGCAGGCTAGTCATTTGGTCCTATTGCAACTTGTATTGTAGGGCTGGTTCTATTTGGTGGGTTTGGTAGGACAACGCTGCAAGTTCAGCTAGGCTATATGTTTATTTTACTTATGTGTGTGATAGGTTAACTACACCTAGAAAGTCTATATGGTGTTAACTCTTTTAGTGTCTAATAAGCAGTTTCTTTTAGCTAGGCATTTCTTCTAGCCCACCCTTCCCCGAACGAAATTTAACTTATATACTAAATGTATACTTAACCAGTGTCGTCGCCCCCCCCCCCCACCTGGTAATTTAAATCTAACCCACATCAACGGTTCAAATCCTCCCTACCCCCCCCCCCCCCCGGAGAAAAAAATGTCTGAAAGAAACACCGCTTATACGTGCTTGCTACACATAGATCTGTATAGTGTTCGATCTACTGAGCTCCCTGTAACTAGAATGCCAGCCTAGGTAAGCAGACGGCTGGGATACGTACAGGCACCAACGTGGATGCCGTCAATACCGCACCAACATAAATAGCCAGCTATTAATAACCGTACGTGTGTCGCCATTAGATGAAAACAAAAGAATCCGCTTGATATTTACGTCACGACGATTTGTATCGTGTAAGTGTGGGGTCAATGCTAGTGTACATATTAAAAAAAACCCACGGTATGAGACACGGCTGTAAATCTCACTACCAGAGATATAAACGCTAGGCTACAGCGGCACCATAATAATGCCAATAAAGGCTTTACTGGGGGTGTGACCTGTGACCCCCGCGCCATTACAGTGACACCGCGCCCGGCCCGCCGCCCTCTAGGTCACAGCTGTTCACCAGAATTTACTATCCAATCAGCTGACGGATGACAACAAACACGAGGGCTCCACCTTCATTACCCCCCCCCCCCCCCAACACACACACACCTCCAGACCCCCCCCCCCCCCCATTCACTAGCCTCCCCTTCACACTTCCTGCGGTGGCTGCTCGAACGTGCCTGACGTCACGACCCTCGACAAAGGATTTATTATACCCCCCCCCCCCCCCAAAATCCAGTCAGTCAGCAAGTTTTCCGTCTGACTACCCCGCCCCTAGTTTACGCCTAAAGACGACCACGCGTAAAGAGAGAGAGTTCATGACCCCGACAGGAGTTAGTTCCCTTACAAGATGGAGGTTTTTTGTTTACAAAAAAAAAATGTGAATTTAGGTCGGTCCAAAAAGTATTCTTTAGACACCGTTCAAATTAAACTATTTGAATACTTTTTATTAGCAGCTTCTCATAACGTGACCAAAACAGTAGTAACCTCTACAGTAGTATAGCGAGAGAAAATGACTAAGAATCAACTAGATCTAG